ATTTATACATACATACATACATAGAGTATTATATTGAAAAATGAACTGATCAGTAAATGTGTGTAGCTATAATTTCAGTAACAAACTCCTGTTGATCGGAACAAGTAAAGTGAACTCCTCCTAGTGTAGAAGGTCATATTTCTACCTGTGTGCCGGTTTATAGTGAAAATCTCATTCTCGTTGCCATTGAATATGGTATATGTGATTCTCAGTCTGCTGTCTGCTGGATCACTGGCCTCCACATTAGCAATGAAAGTACCTTGAGGAGAAGCAAAGAGATGCTGATGTTGATATTCAGTGACAACAGCAGCATGGACAGAGGTGATGAAACATACCAGCCCTACTGTTCTCTTTAACCGTAGTGTTGTAGACTTTGTTAGTGAACTGGAGTCCATCATGTTCTCCCTTCAGGTGGATGAAAACCAAGCAGGTAGAGGTGAGAGAAGGACGCCCTCGGTCGGACACCACCACCTGTAACTTCCTTCCAGTGAAGAACGCCCCCACTCGTCTTCTCAGTGAAATCTCTCCTGAATCCACACTGATGTCAAATAGGTTTTCCTCATCAGATAGCATAAACTGTATCGTCCCATTCTCACCCCGATCGTCATCTGTTGCCATCACCGTGGCAACAATCTGGTTTGGCAAAGTCCTCCAGGAAACCCATGCGTTAAGGGGATTCTTGTTGCAGACTGGCAGGTTGTCGTTCACGTCCTCCACTTGTATGACCACTGATGCCATGGAGCTCAGCGGGCCCCGAGTGCTGCTGTCAGTGGCCACAGCTCTGAAGGTGAACTGAGGAGTTTGTTCTCTGTCCAGTGACCTGGTGGTTCGGACCACCCCGGTAAAGGGCTCCACAGAAAAAGCCCCGTTGCTGCTGTTCTCAGTCAGGGAGTAGGTCACAACCCCATTGGGTCCCTCATCAGGATCGAAGGCGCTGAGGTGCAGAACCTCAACTCCAGCAGACAGGCCTTCACTGATGGAGGCGTGATAGCTTTCACGGCTAAATAAGGGGACGTTATCATTCTCATCCAGCAGCACCAAATGGAGCTGGGTGGTGGAGCTGAGTGGGGCTGGACCAGAATCCTGGGCTTGTAAGGTGAGTGTGAAATTCCGTGTCTCCTCACGGTCCAGAACCTGCGTGATGCTGACAGCCCCAGTGAGACTGTCGATGATGAATCGACCGTTGTAGTCCCCACCTAGAGGCGGAGCATAAAGTGACTCATTTAAAACGTTAAATGGTTTTCAGTTTAAAACTGTTTAAATAAAAAAAAATAAAGGTTCAGATCTGAGATGAAACATGAAAAAAATCTGTTTTAAATCAGGTGAGAAGGACTACAAATCCTGTTTTGGTAACCAGATAAGAAAACACACATCCTAACATCCACTGGACGATTGATCAAGAAGCAGCAAAACAGATCAACAGAGTCATAAAATAAGACACGAGGACTCTAAACTTTAATTATTGTTATACATGTTTCAGATGCAGCCTTCCTCTTCAGACTACCAAAATAAAAGTATTCTAAGAAAAGCAGAAACACAAGCAAACAGCTCCTACATGGGAAACAGTCACTCCTTGAAACCCTTACCTAACATGGAATAGTGTAAAGTTCCATTTTCTCCTAGGTCTGGGTCAGAGGCCTGAACAGTGTGAATAACTCCAGGAGGGAGGTTTTCTGGAAGGTTGACCTGAAACCACGACTGCATGAACTCGGGAGGGTTGTCGTTGTCATCCAGCACGAAGCACATGACCTTGGCTGTTGCCGAAAGAGGCTGAGTGCCACTGTCACGAGCCTCCACTGCAACACAAACCACCACACTTAGTTATTTCCCCCAACGACAGTTCAACTTTCAAACCGTGTGCAAACTTTTACAACAACTCGGATGCACAAACGTCAGTAATTTCACTTCATTTGACATGATCACTTTTAGTAAAATGGTAAATGGCCTGTATTTGTGTAGCACCCTGTTAGGGTTCTACAACCCCCCAAGGCGCTTTACAACACAATCAGTCATCCACCCGTTCGCACGATGGTGGCGGATGAGCAGCAAAGTAGCCAGAGCTGTCCTTAGGTGCACTGACAGAGACATGGCTGCCGAACACTGGCTCCACCGATCCCTCCAACCACAACCAGCAGGCAAGGCGGGTTAAGTGTCTTGCCCAAGGACACAACAGCAGCATTCTCTGGTGGGAGCCAAGATCGAACCTGCAACCTTCTGACTACTGGGCAACCCGTTCTACCTCCTGAGCTACTGCTGTCCAAAAGAAAGTCAATTTGTTCATACGGGATGTTTTGTGAAAAGTCATATATGTTTATTTTACTTGAGATGAGGCAAGGTTTTTTGTGATATATCAGACGTGGTCCTGAGCAACACTTCAAGCTTTCCTTTAGAAAAAACAGGCTAATTTTTCACTCATTTGACAAAATTACGCTTAAATTGAATGCATATGAGCTGGGATTAAATGGATGAGCTCACTGAGATGCCAGTGGAAAAACATAGCATCAAAATACAGCAGTGGGACAAAACTGATGGTCTTTGCAGACCAAAGATTGAGACCATGTGATAAGAAGCAAAACCTACAAAACATAATATAAAAAAACAGTGAAACAACTCTTAATGAATTCTAACAAAATGTTTAATTTCCTTCCAAGTTCTTCAGCTGCCAGAGGTAATTGTCTCCACATATTTCAGCATTTCCCCCAAAAGCTCTGTGTGTAATTCTGGCATGACTTCAACACATTCAGGCTTTCCCGTCATTAGATTTTATGATTAGATTTCATTGTTCATCCTACTGGTGACTGTAGAAATATTGTGATAAAACATCTGAAAGCATTTTTAATCCCTAAGCACTGCTGGACAGGCTGAATGTAATTACCATGGACCCACGTGAGTGAAAGCAAACACTACAGCGGGCTGGAGGTGCTGCAGTGTGCCCGGTGGAGGCTCAGCCCTTTAAAAGCTCCTTTGACATAAATCAGTCTGCTAAATAATGTTACCCTCATGCAGAAGGGAGACACTTAATCATTTATGACTTTAACCATGAAGCTCAAGAAGGAATGAGAAACAGAAGAACAGAAGAATTGAAATGACTGCAAATTCCATCAGATGGTTGCTTTTTGAGAGTTTACTGTATGAATCTCCTGTTATGTTGTTGCTATTTTTATTTTTCTCCTCTATAGCAGTGCTTAAGCTAACCGTGTTACTTTCAACACTGATAACAAGCCATGTTGGAACCATGCTTGCTTGTTTTACAGCAGATATTTAGAGTAGGGGAGGTACAGCCATGTAAACAATGGCCTCATTCCATTTAGAGAAAGGTCTGCTAGTTAGCATTTTTACAGAACAAGCTAATGTTAATGTGTTTCTTGCTTTCGAGTCAAAAATCAATGAAACTGTGTTTTGCTTGACTGATCATAAAAATGTGTAGATTTGAATTGTAATTGATGAAATCTGCACAGGAGTTGATCCTGTTCTGATGAGTCTGAATAATTATTTCTTATTCTTTAAATCAGAGGTGCCCCAAAAATTTTCACGGGGGGGGGGGGGGGGGTAGATGGGGCCAGTAAAAAACCAAATTGGTCCATGTGGTGACTCTGGGAGAGTTTAGCCTGTTGCTGTGTGTTGCATTCCTCCTTCATTCCTTTTTTATGAAGCTCTCATTCACTCGTTTTTCAATATAATTGCTGTAGTCTAGTGGGAATGAATGCCCTGTGAGTCATTCTCTTAGGAAGAAAAGTTCTGGTGCTCTCGTTTCAGAAGTAGGAGTTAGCCAGAGGAGTGTGTGTGTGGGGTGGGGTGGGTAGGGTGGTGGTGGTGGTGGTGGTGGTGGGGGGGGCAGCAGGATTTGGAGTCTTGATGTCATTAGTATTCTTGTGATTCAGTCAACTCATCTCTGATTGGCTAACAGTAACATGACTCTTCCCTGTCTTCGTTCACACTGCAATGTTGATGTTTAATCACCACAAATAACACAAGCCTGCCGTGTTGTGGAGCTTCTAATGCTAACTGTTAGCTTCTACTAGCCGAGATGTGCTCTGCTCTCTCCTGGATGCTAAATAAACAACAGCCTTCCACATCATCAGTCCAGATGGGTGAATCCATAAATGCTCATTTACAGAGTGATGTTGATCTGAGTGGCTTTTCTAGTCCAACAGTTTCCTCATCTATTTTCTATTAGCGGCTAACGCAGGAAATGGGGGTAAAAGAATATTTTCATGTTCTGCTTGCATGTAAAACTCTGACTGACTATTTCAAAAGAAAAGTATTTTACATTTCTCAGTGAAACTCACCTTCTGAAAAATAAAAGTCCTACAAAAGGGGGCATGGCCATGACACCCACTTAGGGCACCACTGCTCCACACTGAGATCATTCTCATTCTGAGTACTGTGCACTGCAGGTAAGATACTGATTCCTCACAACAACTTTACAGAACACTCAGTGGTTTTAAAGCACACACTTTCTGTTTCACATCGAGAGTGAGTAACTCTTAAATAAATAACACTAGATATGAAAGCACAAAGACAGTTTGTTTAGCTGTCTAAAACCAGTGAGACGTACATGTGTACGTTGAATTAAAATGTCATGATTAAGTGTGTATTTACCTGTTAGTATAAACTGTTGGTGCTTTTCTCGGTCCAGATGTGAAGTGGTGGAGATGAGGCCGGTGTATGGATTGATGCTGAAGAACTCGTAGCCCGGACCTGGCAGCAGACTGTACCACACAGCTGAGTTCTCCTCTAAAACGTAAAAACATTATTACATTTGAATTATATCCATCTGCTTCAGAAAAAAATTCATCCTCTATCTACTCATAAACACGCCTTTGATGTACGTACAATGCCATTGTTTCAGTTTATATGATTATTGAATAACAAAACAGTAAAAATCAGAAGAATGTTTCCATCTTTATTGGTCCGTTGTGTTTCAGTGAGCTTTTAAATGAAAACAGAGCCATGAAAGAAAGAAAGAAAAAATCACATGATGCCACATGTTGCCTTCAGATTGTCCAGCTTGCTAATGCTTTTTTCATGGTTATCCCATTGTTAGCCACATATCCAGTAACAGGCATCACTTGACCTCACAAGCTGTTTTGGTGAAGCTTAATGCTTCCCAGAAGCTGCATGCTTCAGCGAGGTTTGGTCCAAATGATCTCAGATCTCTATGGAGACTTCTTGGAAAGAGTAAGAGTGTGCCGATGCTCTAATTAACAGCAGCAGTAAAAACGGCTGCAAAAGCTGCAACAAGATTTAATGCTGCAAAATAAGAGTTAGTTTTAATTCAAATGCAGAAACTGCTCTATTGTTTAGTTTAAAAAACTGGAAAACAATCATTTTGGTGCTTTTTTTTTCAGGGGCCGCACAGGGGTGCAGCGGATAGCGCTGTTGCTATGCAACCTTAAGGTTCCTGGCTCAAATCCCGCTCTGGGGTCTTTCTGCATAAAATGTGCCTGTCTTCCTTGTGCACATGTGGGTTCTATGCAGGTACTCTGACTTCCTCCCACAGCTCAAATGTATGACTGTCAGACTGAATGGCCTCTCTAATTTGTCCATAGGTGTGTGTCTGTGATGGACTGGCAACTTGTCCAGGCTGTACCCCACCTGGTAGCCCGAATGCTGCTGTAGACCGCGACCCTGCATGGACGAGGTATAGATAACGGATGTGGGCTTTTAGCAGAACATGTTCCTTTTCTGCACACACTAATGTCAACAATCTACTAAATAAACACCTGAAAACCTTTCAACAAGCTTGCAGCTTATTGAAATTTCCTATAAAAATAATGTTTAAGGATCTAATTTAATGTATGTCACATTTTAAGCTGCATGTTGGGAAATCAGCATACATTAATAACAGTAATAACACACACCACCCAGTAAATCTCATTTAACTCTATATCTTATCATCTTTAGCTAAAAACGTAAAACATTGTCTTACATTTTTATTATCTTGGTACCAATTTTAGAGTATTGTTGTGTTTCAGTTTATGACATCGGTTGTTCCAAGTGTTCATTCAAAGTTCAAATGGAATTTATAAGAACACAAACCAAACAAAAGTCTGTTCCAGCTATGCTGGGTTGTAAAAAGCTTTATTGCCACACGTTCTGATATCAAACATCTTCTCCAAGTGACTCACAGATGGAAACTAGATCCTTCAGAGCTGCAGAACAATAGGCATCTTTAGTAGGGCTTTGTGGGACAAAAGCAACACAAATTATAATCAAATAAGTTGGTGGGAGAGCGGGCGAGGAGACGGATGAAAAATACCGCGCCAATTGGCACAGATGGCTTGGATTATGGCAATCATCCTGAGAGGGGACCTTTCACTTCTCCCAGAGAAGCTGTGTTGGTTCAAGTGGAAGCCCCTCCTGCGCAGAGCTGTCTGCTGCTCGACCTCCAGCTACAGCATAAAAAAACTCCCACCATCAATAGGATGAGATGCAGTGGAGGCCGTGAGCACAATGTGCTAAAATAAACACGTCTGACGCGTCGATTTGTGACTCTGAACAAGGGGTCGTGTGAGTGACACTCAAATGTAAAAGACAACAGCTGAGGAAAGGGATAGAGCTTCATTTAAACTGATGCTGGATTAACAAAATAAACAGTTATTGATTTAGGCTATTTTGAAATGTAATAACAAAAAACATTCATATAAAAAAAGAAACATTAATTAAGCTTCTAAATTGCTGCAGACAACTATTTGTTGACTCTTTTCTTAAACAATAGAACATCTGTTACGCTCCTAAGCCTATAACGAATCATTGCTTTGAAGGTTCTTAGGATTTATTTTCAGGGTTTTTTTCTCTGCATTTTGACTTTTGATGATGCAGATAGCATAAATCCTGCTGGTGGTTCCATCTAGTGGTCTAACAGGAACACTGCAGGCATAACTCTAAAATCCTTTAGTCATCACACACTGGTGAAATTTCCATCTCCACATTCGACCCATCCCCATGGAGAGTGTTGAGCTGGGAACGAGTGTCAAGCAGAGAGGGATTGGGTCCCGTTATTTAAGTCTTTGGTACGACCCAACCGGGATTTGAACCTCGATCTCCCAGCCCCAGGGTTGACCCTCATACCACTGGGCCACTAAGCTGGTATCCAAACATTTTATTTATTTCAGCATAACTCTTGCTTCACCGTATCTCAGAGAACGGAACTTCATACTCTCACTAGCTGCACGTTTATGGAATTTGATCATAAATAAAAAAAATGCTTTGGTTTGAGCAATTTTTTTCCTGTCATCAACTCTTTTAGAAACTGTTTGCTGTGATCATGACGAATGACCCACATTTGTAGCACCTTTCTGAGTTAGAGGACTCCAAAGTACTTTACACTACAGTGTATAATTCACTTATTCACACACACATTCACACACTGGTGATGATGAGCTACACTGTAGCCACAGCTGCCCTGGGGTGAACTGATTACCTGAGTCGTCGTCATTGGCAGAAACCCTGATGACCGTTTCTCCAGCGTCTCTGTTCTCCGCCACGCTGGCGTTGTAGGTGTTCTGACTGAAATCAGGAGCCTGGTCATTTACATCCCCCACCTCTACTGTCAGCGTCTGGGTGGAGGACAGCGAGGGGAGGCCGTGGTCCACCACACGGACAGTTAGACGGTGGGCATGACGGGTCTCGTAGTCCAAAGGGGCAGAGAGAAACAAAAGACCTGAAGAAGATGAAACACTTTAAACAAGACTGTCATAAAATGGAGATAAGTAAAAGTAAACAACATCGAGTACCTGTTTTTTCCTCCAGTGAGAACCGTTTTCTGTTTCCAGCAACAACAATGAAGGACACGGCCCCATTTTCACCTTGATCTCCATCTATAGCCACAAACTGATGCACCAGACTGCCCACTTCAGCATCCTCCATCAGCTGAACTCTGTCAGCTGAGACGAACACGGGCCGGTTGTCATTCATGTCCAGCAGGAAGAGCTGAACTGTCACTTCCGCCTGTCTACGCTCGTGCTGCCTTTCTGCCTGGTCGCTGGCAGTCACAATGAAAACAAAGCTAGAGGTGCTCTCGCAGTCCAGCGGCGCTGCTACAGTCAGACTGCCTGTTTCTGAGTTCATGTGAAAGGGGAAGTGTGACGCTGACCCACTGACTTCAGGGTCAAAGGTCAGAGTGTAGCGGAGGGCGCTGTTGGGATGAGTGCCGTCGGCGTCTCTGGCTTGAAAAGCAAACGCCAGGGATCCAACAGCAGCGTCTTCCCTCAAGCCGAACATCACTAGTTTATCGGGGAACCAGGGTGTGTGGTCGTTCACATCCTCCACTGTCACACTCACCAACACGGACACGTTTGCACCAGCAGAGAGATCAGTGTCTTCCGCTCTCACCACGAGGACGTACTGCTGAGCAGACTCATAATCCAGCATCTGGTTAACGTAGATGTCACCAGAGGAGCTGTTGATTCCAAAGTAAATACTCCCATCACCCTCAGCGATGGTGTACTGAAACCTGCCGTTATCTGAAGGAGATACAGATCCGATCACCGTTGCAGGCTCCGCGTCTTCCCTCACAGAGAAATGTCTCAGTGCCTGGTGTTCAGGGCTGCTGTGCAGATCCTCCAGTCCATGAACCTACAAGAGAGAAGCATGCAGGTAAATTATAATAAATTACTGTTTTATTAAAGATGGGGAACAAACATTTTATGAAAACCGAAAGAATAAAACAACAAAGGTACTGATGAAAATAGGCTGCAAGAACAAATCCTGCAACCAGTATGACATGGTTCATGGTTAGGGACAAAACACAATCTAAGAGATCTTTGGTATGTTCTTGCTGTGTCTAATTCCATTTTTAGTTCTTTTTTAAAACACAGAAAATGTATTTATTTATTTATTTATTTTACCTTGCTGACAGTTTCGTTTGCCGACTGCAACACTTTCTCAAAGCTGACGCTGATGGTGGCGTCACCAAGGAAGTGCCCCTAACCCTAATCCTAACTAAAAATCGAATTATAATCTAAGAGATGATTTTTAGCACATTGGGGCCTTTCATGTGTCTTTTTCTACTAGATACTTCTCTTCTTTATAAATGAGGAGATTCAGTAATTAAGAAAACTTTACAACCCTGACAAAACTTAGGTCCCAGTCCCAAAAAATAAAACAACAAAAAATTCCCAACCTCTTTCAACCCAACAAAAACATAGCACCACACGGGGGGGGGGGGGGGGGGGGGGGGGGGTTGGGCCACTCCAAAAATTTCTGCACAAAAAAACTAAAATGTAACTTCTTCTTATTAACCTCTACCAAAAGCCACCCCCAAAATGTAAAGGGGCAATAGAATTAAAACATTTCTCGTGTTGCTGTTGAATATAGGCAATGAGCAACATTTAATGTAGCATAGCAACAAGTCAGAGCTGTGTCTGACCTCCTTCCTATGAAAAGAGTTAGGTTTAGTAATGCCGGATAATGTTGCAATGACCACAGGCAAACAGTCCGCTCCCTAACCCTAACCCTCTGAGAAATGTTGGTTCAACAAGTCATAAACTTAGGCGCACATTCACGTGTCCCAACCCACTTCAGAGTCAGCAATACACATAAATGTTTGTTAAGATAATGCTAACCGCAGAACAGTGATGGGACTTACGGCTCTTTGAAGGGAGTTGTTCATTTAGGAACCATTTCCCTAAAAGAGTTGTTCAAAGACTGGCTCTTTTGAATGAAGCGAAGCAATCTCCTTGAGAACAGGAAGGGACACAAAGCGTTTCTATGTACTGTAAGATGAAAAGAACGGTTCTCTACAAGGAATCTGATCTCATCATTCACTCATCATGAACGTCACATCACTGCCGCAGACCAACGCCAGCCCCAGTTACTGCTGACACCGGCCTGAGCTGCTAATGTCCTTGTCGGACAAGAGGAAAACCAAAAGAAAAATGCCGGAGCTCCACTCACATCCCAGGATGTACTGGAATATCCAGACAATGAATGAATGCCAGATGGATGCATAAGAGTGGTCCTTGCCACTCTTGTCCAAACCATCCAAACTGCTGCACCGTGTACCCCCCTACCCCACCCACCGACATTGGCCACTCCAACACTCACTTCCTTGTTTGTTGACTTACATTCTGTTTTGTTTTTGGGTTTTTTTGGTCTGGGGACCCGTTAGTTGACCCTATATTTCCAAACCAGACACAGCCTAGTCCCATATTGTGATATAAAACAATCAGAGCGAGTGAAGGGCTGATTGAGTGCATACAGCTAAACATGTTGGTGCAGTTTTGTATGCAGGCTAGTAGATAAACAGAGTTAAAGAAGCATGGATGAGGAGAAAAAACATGAAAAGAACAATTGGCAACTTTCTGGCCTCAGTGTCAGTTAACCATTACTGATGTGGACGAACCTCCCAGATTGTGTCAAGCTGGCACCTAACAGTGATAATACTTGAGTCCAATCTTTAGTTACATTACCACCTGAATGGTGATCAAGTACAGTAAATGCACAGACACAGAGACACATTAACAGCTTGTTTTAAATCTGATTATTCTGCTGTGAAAGTACCTCGCTCGGACTGTTCAAACATGTATACATTATTCATTGGAAGAATTGGCTTTGAAAGCATATATTAGTTGATTTCCCTCAGATATAACATAAACATCAGTTAGTGAGTGGAGAATAGATTGTACCTGAACATGAACCACTGCTGTGTCTTCCTGAGGAATGGCTCCGCTGTCCTTGGCTATTATCTTCAGAGTGAAGAATGCTTCGTGTTTTTGGTTGAAAAGATGAGTTGTTGTGATGTCTCCAGTTTTACTGTTGATCTCAAAGTCTCCTTCACCATCGTCTACTAAACCAATGGACAGACAAGTGCAACGGGGATGACCCTAGAACCTAACTGATGTCATAATTGTCATTGAATAACAACATCTACATCTCACCTGTAACCAGTGAATGGGTCACCGTTCCATTCTCCCCAGCATCCAGATCTTTGGCGAACATGTTTGTCACCAAGAATCCTGCTGGTACACCAGCCCAAATCTGCAACACACAACTGTGTTTTAATAAATTAGACGGCACGACATTGGAAATCTATACCAATACTAATGAGTAAAGTGGGCAACGTGAGTAAAAAATTAAATAAATAAAAGAGAAGTCCATCATTTCGTAAAGTATTGATGTTCATTTTTGGACTTTGAGGGCCTCCATCCTGCAAATGTTAGAGGGTTCCCTGCTCCACCACATAAAATTTTAGTCACTGAAAGATGAAAACTCTTCTGCTGAGCTTCATGATGTGCTAGGTAATTCAACTATTGATTCAGGTGTGTTGGAGCATGGAAACTACTGAAGCATGCTTGATAGTGGTACTCAATGTCCAGGGTTGGATGCAACTGGCTTAAAGAGACAATGTGTAGTTTTTACCATTAATCTCTGGAAACATCCATCGAAATGTTGTTGAAAATGAGTTAAATGATACCAAGTTGTTGAAATATATTGGCGGTGTCATAACATACAACCATAAAAATCAGATATAAATACATGAGAGTGGGTCTAAACTCTGGGCGACACCATATTAGATGCCCTGTTTCCTTCTTCGTGAGCCCATTGGGACAATATACATTTACTGATTTGTAACAAGCGGTTAAAAAAACGTTTGCGGTTCATTAACATTGTTTTACAGACAACAATCTGATGAAGTACTCCTCAAAAAGTGCACTCCCAGTAGGGCTGAGCGATATGGCCTAAAATCAATATCACAATATATTGAGAATTTCACCTCGATAACGATAAATGGACGATAACTACAGGTATGCGCAGAAACAAAAGTTGTCCACTAGATGGGGCCATCACATGTATTACGCTGAGTCACATTTTTGGTGGTACAGCTTCTTAAAGAGACACGGACGTTGCCAACCTACACACATCATTTCCTTTTTTTATTATTAAATTTATTGACATGAGAAAATGTTTCTCGATAAGAGTCAAAAATTTTGATAATACATTTTCGATTTATTGTCCAGAACTAACCCCCAGGGATGTTTGACCCTAATGGCCATCCGCTGGTAAGGTTTTATTTGAACACAAAAATACTGCTTGCTTGCAACGATTTAGGTATGTACGGCCACCTATTGGCCAGGAAAAATACTCACCGTCACTTGAAGTATTTTTCTCAGTTTTATAAAGAAATGTTTAAATTTCTTTATAAATACTTGTTTTGATTCTACATGTAGTAGAAAAAATATAAAATGTAATGACCAAAGTAAATATGATAAGTCTTACTTGAACACGGAGCTCTTTGCTGACCGGTAGATATCTAAACTGTGGAGGATTGTCATTGACATCAGTGACCAGAATGTGAACAGTGGCGGTGGCGTTGAGTCGCGGGTGACCCTGATCTGTAACCATCACCTTCAGACTGTGCTGGCTGTGCTGTTCCCTGTCCAATGCCACCCAGTTGATAATTTCACCTGAAAAACCAGAGAGGATGGAGAGGTGAAACCATACAGTTGTACAACACAAGAAAGTGACTGGTGTTTAACTACGAGGAATTTTACCAGTTTTAGCATTGATGCGAAAGAATCTCCCATCAGAGAGCAGAATGTAGGATAGCTGGCAATTTTTCCCAGAATCCTTATCAAATGCCTTTACTGTTCCCACAAGGCCTTGTGGTGATGAGCCCTCAGATACAGTGAAGTAGTACATCTCTCTGCTGAACACCGGAGCATTGTCATTAACATCCAGCACCAGGACAGTCACGGAGGCTGTCGCTGTGAGGTTTGAGGCCTCCCTGGATGTGGATAAAACCTGAAACTGGTACTTTGAGTCAGTCTCATAGTCCAGATTGCAGGACAGATACAACCATCCTGTCTTTGGATGAATACGAAAAGGAGCCAGAGGGAATCCTGTTTCTGACTGTAAAGAGTAGGTAAGGCCTGAATTGGATGTGTGAACTCCCCTGGTTCGGTGTGCTCTCACCTGGATGACCCGACTGTCCTTTCTGTAGCTCTCACCTATCTCCACTTGATAGACCAATGTCTCAAAGGCCAGGCTTTCCTCTGCAGCCGTCTGATCAATGTTTACTGAGAGGGCCAACGTGGCGCTAAGGGGGGGCTCTCCTTCATCTTTAGCTATTATTTGGAGATCATACTTCAGCTCATGACCCACCTCCAGACTCTGAATAAGTGAAACTGTCCCAAGATTAGAATCAATCACAAATGTACCATTTGTGCTAGTTTTCAGGTGATACTGCACTCTCCCATTAGCGTCGCTGTCATAGTCATGAGCATGAGCAATGAACAACACTGTTCCAGGTGGGGTGTTCTGGGAGACGGTGATGGAGTCGCTCTTTTTGGGGAAGACAGGAGCATTATCATTGACATCAGCTATGGTGATGTTAACCTGGGTGGTGCTGTAAATGGGGGAAGTGTCAGTGTAGGACTGAAGAACTAGCAGAACATATGGCTGAGATTCGTGGTCCAGAGGTTTAACAATGCTGATCAGACCAGATTTGGGATGTACAGAGAACAAACTGTGAGGATCTCCCGAAGAGATTCGATATGAAACAGATTCCACAACGTCTGTAAGAAAAAAACAATTAAATATGAATTACAAAATGTCAAAAAACACAAACTGGTTATTAAGAGTAAGCATAAATGCTTTTGCTAAACATCATTTTCAGTCACAATTTTTGTTTGGCATCTTGTCCCACAACTTTCAATGAACCCTATTTGACTGCATCAGGAATAAAGTGGAATAACTTTTACAGAATAACACCCTGTAGCATATAAACAACTTTTGTTCTTTGCATTTTATGAGATTTCCAATTACGTTTATGAACCAAAACAACCCTTAAAAATATCATCTGTGGGGTGGACATTACAATAAAATAATCAATTTCATCGTCAAAAATTTTGTTCTATTCAAATTTATTGGTTATCATTTGTTCTTAAAAAAATCAGGTTTAGAAATCTCACAAACTATGTGTTTAAAATATGTTTTGAATCATTTTGAGAACTAAATATATGAGTATTATCAGCAAACAGAATGAACTGTAACATTTTTGACACTTAACAAATGTCATTGATGTACAAACTAAAAAGCTTTGGTCCCAGCACTGAGCCTTGGGGAACTCCATGCTTTACTTAAGCCAATAAACATTCCTACTGTATCTTGTTGCATTTATGCTACTGCTACTACTTCTAGTGATGTAAAATATGTTGATTTTTTTATAATTTAATCCATAGTAATCAGCCAATTATAGCTCTGAATAAAATTATCTACTGTCAGGACAAATCCCTTTTAAAACCCATAATTTTGACTTTTCAGACAGTTTTTATCTTCACAAATCAAGAACAAAATCCGATTTTTTTAACAAACCCCTCACAAAATGTAATTACACAGATCAGAAAATCCCCATTAATCCCCTCCATTTGTTTGTCGCGCTGCAACACCGACCTCTGAAACAAGCTAACAGCTTAACACAAGCAGAACCCTGTCATTCCACTTTAAATTGAAGCCTTAATCTGTAAATTGATGGGACACCCTTAAATGACTGTCTAGTGTGATAAAGGGGTTTAGCTTTTAGGATGTCCTGTGGAGTAACAAGATGACTATAAAGAGATAATCCTAGAAGACTGGGGAGCCGTGCCCTTTGTAGAGTAAAGACACTGTTAGCTATTACATAAACACAATGAGGTAAATCGTTTGTCAAATTCATAAAGAAAATGGTAAACTAGAAAAAAAGGCATTTCTTGTGAGAATACAGTTTGAATGCTGGTGAGTGGGATAGAGGAAAAAACGGGTAAAATTGAATAAATAAATAAATAAAAACATATATACTTAGATGAACAAATTAATGAATACTGAAACAACTAACTAACTAACTAAGTAACTAACTAACTAACTAACTAACTAACTAACTCAAACTTTGTTTCTTATTCCTAAATCTTAAGACTTCTCTCCGGGGAAGTCTGGGGACTTTGGATTGGGCTCTCCAGTTTCTGGTACTAAGGTCACTGAGGTCGTCAAAAAGCTCCTTGGTGGCAAAGCTCCAGTTCTTGGACAAGATCTCCCCAGAGTTCCTTAAGGCTATGGATGTTGTGGGGTTGTGCTGGCTGACGCGGCTCTGCAATATCGCATGGACATCGGGGGCAGTCCCACTGGATTGGCAGACCAGGGTGGTGGTCGCTCTATTTAAAAAGGGGGGCCACAGGGTGTGTTCTAAGGTCTATTCACGGGTTCTGGAGAGGAGGGTCTGGCAGATTATTGAACCTCGGATTCAGGAAGAACAATGCGGTTTTTATCCTGGCTGTGGAACATTGAACCAGATCTACATCCTTAGGACGGTCCTAGAGAGTGCATGGGAGTTCGCCCAACCAATCTACATGTGTTTTGTAGATTTGAAAGGTACTTCTGGAGTATGGGGTACCAGGCCCTCTGATATGGGCTGTTAGGTCCCTGTATGACTGGTGTCAGAGCTTGGTCCGCATTGTCAGCAGTAAGTCGGGCTCGTTCCCAGTGAGAGTTGGACTCCGCCAAGGCTGCCCTTTGTCACCGATTCTATTCATAACCTTTATGGACAGGATTTCTAGGCACAGCCAAGGTGTTGAGGGGATCTTTTTTGATGGCCTGAGCTCTGCTTTTTGCAGATGATGTTGTCCTGTTGGCTTCATCCGACTGCGATCTCCGGCTCTCACTGGTTCGCAGCCGAGTGTAAAGCAGCTGGGATGAGAATCGGCTCCTCTAAATCCTGGTCTTGAGTAGAAAAAGGGTAGAATACCTTCTATAGGGAAGAGGTCCTGCCCCAAGTGGAGGAGTTTAAATATCTCGTGGTCTTGTTCACGAGTGAGGGAAAGATGGAGCGCAAGATCGACAGGCGGATTGGTGCTGCGTCTGCAGAGATGTGGGCATTGTACCATTCTTTGGGTAGTGACAGAAAGAATGACATTACAGATACAAGCGGCCAAAATGAGTTTTCTCCGCAGGGGGCTGGGCTCTCTCTTAGAGATAGGGTAAGAAGCTCGGCCATCCAGGAGTGGCTCAGAGTAGAACCGCTGCTCCTCCACATCGAGAGGAGCCAGTTGAGGTGGCTTCTAATTAGGATGCCTCCTGGACGCCTCCCCGGTGAGAACGTCCAACTGGGAGAAGGCCTAAAGGAAGACACAGGACACACTGGAGAGACTTTGTCTCACGGCTGGCCAGGGAACGCCTTGGGATTCCCCCAGGTTTGCTGGCCCAAGTGGCCAGGGAGAGGGAAGTCTGGGCTTCCCTGCTTAGGCTGCTACCCCTGCGACCCAACCCCGGATAAGCGGCTGAAAATGGATGGATGGATAAATGATTTCTAAAATGTATCCTTCTGGAATTTCATGCATGTTATATGTAACAGATGTACATATGAAAATGTTTAAATGCAGCATTTCTACGGAAGCGTAGAGCTGCCACCCACACAAAATAAAATTAGAGCAACATCACGTTATAACATCATAACTTTATTGATCCAACAATATAACTGTCATGTTTGTATGTTCTAACAATGAAATTTTCACATTTGTACAATATACATAGTATATTGTATGAACATGATAGCATATTGTAAAAATGTGAAAATAACACTTAGAACAATTAAGTTAAGATGTAATGTCGTTCTAATTTTATTTTTGCGTGAGTGGCAACTCTACGCTCCCATATATTTATCTCCAGTAAAATAGCTTTTCTATGTGCAAGTAAGGCCAGTAATCTGATTACTCAGACAAACTCCCATGTTCGTTCTTTAGCACGTTACTCAGGAATCAGGTGAACACTCACCAGTGGGGTTCTTGGCCTCCACTGTCCCCACAGGAGTCCCTAAAGCTGCATCTTCAGCCACTGTGAAGCTGTAGCGTGACCTCTGGAACACGGCTGGAACACAAGCACTCTGTAAAACATGGATGGTGACCTCTGCGAGCCGAGGTGAGGTCAAACCCCCTTCATCCTGAGCTGTTATAAAGAGCTTGATGCTGGCTGCACCCAGGTGGGTCAAAGAGGCGTTCAGGAAGAGCATTCCTACAAAACAAAATCAGTTATTTCACTAAAACCTGCTTTTTTCTCACACTTCCACTTGTGAGTAATATCTACTGCTTTATTTTGAGTTAGATTTATTGTTACATGGTCATTGTGCACAAATCCTAAAGCTTTTAGGCTTTTTGCTCATCCCCTGCTGAGCTGTGACACTGGCAATCATATCATGGGGATTTAAACAAATGTACAAGCTGTTAATCCCTGAAAACAACGGCTGCCAGTCACACAAGTTGCTTAAAGATTAGTGAGTGAACCTTTGTGACAAATCAGGTTGGAAAAGTCATTCCAACAGTCTATAATACCACCAATGCACAATAATGCTTGTGATCTTATGCATATTTTGTATACCTGTTTGTTTTTCCAGGGCAAACAAGTTGGACATGTCTCCAGGCTGAACGCTGTAGGTGATCCGTCCAAACCTGCCAGAGTCTCGGTCCGTAGCGATGACGGTAACGATTTCCGTCCCAGGAGGAGCGTGGCTGCTGATGCTCATAGTGTACTCCTCGGGGTTAAACACTGGTTGGTTGTCATTCAGGTCTTCTATCTCAATATGCACGTACATTTGAGCACTCAGGCCTCCCTAACAAAAGACAAAAGAGATTAATGACAAAATGGTAAGTAAGCCCCTGATTATGTCATGATTATGGGTCAGAATCCACTCACGGGATCTTCAGCCTTGACCACAATGTCGTAGACCGTCTGTCCCGAGTCTCGATCGATGTCGTGCGAGACACACAGCTCTCCTGTGTGTGGCTGGATTTGGAAGAGAGGGTGTTTTTCCTGACTGTCAAAGCCATCAGACAGAGAATACAGCAGCATGCCAAACTCAGGGCCGTCAGCATCAGATGCAACAACCTAAAACAGCGACAAACACAGGAATGTAGACCTCATCACAACTGCTTTGTTGGATTTTCTTCCCTCAGACTGAAACTCCATCCATTCGTCCATTATTGTCATCCCAGTTGGACGTGCCTGGAAAACCTTACCAGGGGCGTCCAGGAGACATCCTAATCAGATGCCCAGGCCTCCTCAACTGGCTCCTCTCAACGTGGAGGAGCAGCGGATCTACTCCAAGCCCCTCCCGGATGAGCTTCTCACCCTATCTCTATAAAGGAGAGCCCAGACACTCTGTGAAGAAAACTCATTTTGGCCGCTTGTATCTGTGATCCCGTTCTTTCAGTCACTACCCAAGGCTTGTTACCATGGGGGGGGGGGGGGGGATAGATCCACTGGTAAATCAAGAGCTTTGCCTTCCGGCTCAGTTCTCTCTTCACCACGACAGATTGGTACAACGCCTGCATCACTGCAGACGCAGCAGCAATCCACCTGTTGATCTTGCACTTCATCTTTCTCTCACTCAACAAAACCCAGAGATACTTAAACTCTTCCCCCGAAATCAATGTGATGCGTCCGAACACCGTGATATAAGAGTAACCAGTAGGTGGATTTGCCAAAACAAGTGAGACACACTCACCATGGTGACTCCATCTCTGGCTTAGAGGCCTTTTGTACCATCTTATGTACCTCAACCAGTTACTGATCTCTTTGATTGACGCCATGTTTGTTTTGGTTGTACCCACAAGCCCAGCTCTCTGTCCGGACTGAGTAGTCTAGTGTGCCCCCTAGTGGAACACCCCAGTACTACGTGCTGTGCAGCAGCAAGTATTTGAAAACAGACACAACCTGCTGCCTGTGTCAATGCGAGGTTCAACAGCAAGTACATCACGACCCTAAGGGGTGGCCGGGGGGGGGGGGCATGGCCACCCTTGGAAATTGCTAGCCACTCCACTGGCCTCATATTCACGTTCAAACAAACCATACATTCATCAGGACACAAATGTAAAAGCCAATAAATAAATGAAGATTTATTGATCAAATAAATCAAAATTAAAAAAAAAGATGTGGCTGATTTAAAAAAACTTTAAACAACAGTTGACAGCGCTGGTGCTACGCCCACACGCTTCACACACCAAGCGTAGGTCAACAAGTGGGGGGCACCAACCGGTCAAGCTTCTGTGAGGCACTCCGTACATAGAGCACCACCAGCACCTCCTCACCCCCACCCTGCTCAGGTTCAGACAAATGCTGTAGAACAGACTCACAATGCACCATACCACAAAACGTTAAACTATTATGACTATCAAGTTAAGCTTTCAGACAGTTTCTTTTTGATTATAAGAGTTTTTCATAATTGATCTGGTTTTGTGTGCCAATTATTTCATGGACCTTATTTTACATTAGCCTTTGTGCAAACTCGTAAATCCCTTCTTTTGTCCGTTAAAGAAGGTCAACACAATAAAAGCATAAAAACCTATCTTCCAATCACAGAGCGAGGACTATCTCAAAGATCAAAGGAAAACACACACCAAAGGAAAGCCAGAGCTCGTCTCCTGTCTGACTAAGCTCATGACAGTTTTTTACAGTGAAACGGCTCGCTTTCCCGTCATAAAGAGGACAACACCTCAGAGGGAATGAACTCTGATCACAGGAAGTTTAGAAGAGATCAGGTCAAGGTCTGGTTAGACCTGAGCTGTAGCTCACTAATCAATTGGTTAAAGAGTGACGTCTGGTCATCCAGTGTACTGCCTAAAACATCATCTATTTACCTTCTATATCCACTCCAGGGTTATCATGTTGATTCAAAACAAAACAAATTATGGCTATAATAATAATAATAACAGTAATAGTAATAATAATAATAATAATACCAATAATAATAATAACAATAGTAATAATAACAATAACAATAATAATAATAATAACAATAGTAATAATAATAATAATTATTATATATTTTTTTATATAAAGAACAAAGTTCTGTAATTAAGAGCTTTGTTTGTGATGCTTGTACCAGGCTGCAGGAGATTGGCACTGAGCATCACATCTGTCATATGAAGCAAAGCTGACAAGGCTGCATGTTCTCTCTCTCTCTCTCTCTCTCTCTCTCTCTCTCTCTCTCTCTCTCTCTCTCTCTCTCTCTCTCTCTCTGTGTGTGTGTGTGTGTGTGTGTGTGTGTGTGTGTGTGTGTGTGTGTGTGTGTGTGTGTGTGTGCGTTTACAGGAAAACACTGACGCCTTTGTACAAACAGACTAAAAGGGGCACTTTTGTCTGACGAGACGTAAAATAGACAGAGCGAGTTGGAGTTTGTTGCGAGGACGTTTTAAACAGCTGAGTGGTGCACGAGGAGGGCCCTCCTAGTCAGAATAATTATTCGAAATTTCACAAGAAATCAGAAAGATTTGATAAGATTGATGAACAGTTTTAAATTGGCTTAGTTCACAACAGCCTAAAACGTTGCAGGTGAGATTCTTAAGTGTGGATCAGTGGTTCTCAATCCTGGTCCTGGTGGGCACAACCCATATCCAGCATGTTTTTGTTGTTTCCCTCCTCCAACACCCTTGATGTAGTGGTTGATTCACCTGTGCAGCAGCTCATCAAACTCTGGAGAAGCATGTATGTCACCTGCTGATTGAAATCAGGTGTATTGAAGCAGGGAGACAACAAAAACATGCTAGATACCGGCCCTCCAGGGGCAGGATTGGGCACCACTGGTTTAGATTATTGATCAGTGGAAAGAAACCTCTTAGGATTCTACATGTTTATAAATGATAAATGACCTGCACTTGCGCGTTTCTGATTCAGAGGGTTAGGATTTCTTGAATAATTATTCTAACTAGAAGAGCCTTCTTTGGAAAGCATGCACTACTCAGCTGTTTGTCCTGATTTTAATGCTAGAAATAAATATTTAAAGGAAATGTAAAGTGCAGGAAGAAAGATCGACATCCTGTGATGGACATGAATTACTGCAGTCCATGTTTTAGATCAAATGCTGTAGCGTTAGATCGCTGCAGACTTGGCAACCCTTCAGGCTCACAAATTGTAAACAGTAACTACATCCCTCTTTGGCCAGTTTCAAAGGAAAAAACCTGGCAACCCCCACCCAGCTGAAAGTGAAATCTGTGCCAATGTAACATTCCTTCCAACATGATCGAAACATTAGACTGTTTTGTGAGTATTTAACTGTAGAATTCTTACTTATTGCACCTTTAAATAAAAATATTAATGTTCAACATCAACTGACTGAGATGATTATGAATATTTTACAGCTACTGTTGTGTGTGTTATGTAATAATCCAAGCCCCTGCAGTTTTATGAGTTAACTTTCATGCTAGATGTTTCGCCAACATACTTGTAAAAAGCATTTTCCAACATCAGTGTGCTCGGGTATGGACACGTTGTACAGCTGCTGCTGGAACACGGGCTCGTTGTCGTTAACGTCCTCCACCATGACGGTGACGGTGGCTGTGGACGACAGAGCCGGCTCCCCTCCATCTACTGCCAGCACGAGGAAACACACCTCCGCCTGCGTCTCTCTGTCCAGAGCCGAAGCCGTGGTGATCAGACCCGACCCTGGGTTGATGCTGATCATGTTGTCCTGCTGGGACTTCAGGATGGAGTATTTGATGTCTGAGTTGTGGCCTTCATCTGCATCTGTGGCCTGAATCTGTATGAGGGAACTTCCCTGAGGAGCATCCTCGCTGATGCTTATGGTGTACACGTCCTTCTCAAAGACTGGATGGCAGTCGTTAGCGTCAGATACTTTCAGGAAGAAGACCACCTCACTGCTCATGGGAGGACTTCCAAAATCAGATGCTTGCACCTTCATCTCATACAGATCCTTCTCCTCCCTGTCTAACTCTGAGTCTACACACAGAGCAAACAGGAAATCATCTGTTTGCTTCAGAGTGAATTTCCCCTCCCCTCCTTGCAAAGTAACAGTGACTCTCTCATCCCCAAAGTCTGGGTCTGACACTGAAATCCGGGCAACATAGTCCCCGACCGCTGCTGCCTCTGACACCTCCGCGTCTCCTGACTCACTGAGAAACAGTACACTGATGGTGGGACTGTTGTCGTTGATGTTGAGCACCCTGACTCCCACAAACGTGCTGCTGTACTCAGGCTGAGCTCCGTTATCTCTCGCACTGATGATCAGCTCGTGGAACAGCTGGGCTTCAAAATCAAGCGGTTTGTCCAGATAAATCAGTCCGCTGGTTTTGTTGATGGAGAAAACGTGGTTTGGGTCACTCTGCCGCCTGTTGATCTCATAAGAGATTCTGCCGTTGTCAGCCAGGTCACGGTCGGTGGCGTGCACCTGACAGATAGCTGACCCAGTTGGAGCGTCCTCTCGTACTGAGGTGTGGTATTCAGTCTGATTGAACACGGGAGGGTTGTCATTCTCATCCAGGACATGGATGTTGACTTGCTGGGTCCCTGTCCTGACTGGGATCCCCCCATCAAAGGCCTCAATGGTCAATACATAAAAGTCTTGCGTTTCTCTGTCCACTCTTGTGTTAAGAATGAGATCCAGACTGTGATGGTTGTCAGATCCATGCCGAAAATCCAGCTGGAAGAGCTCACCCATCTCCCTCTCTCTGATCCTGTATCCCTGGGTACCAAACTCCCCCTCATCCTGGTCCTTAGCCCCTTCCAGCTGAAATAGACTCCCCAGTGGGCTCAACTCTGACACCTCCAACTTCACTTCTTTAGTGGGGAACACAGGTGAGTGGTCGTTCACGTCCTCCACCTGGATTCTCACTCTGACCATCTCTCCTGTCAGAGTGGCTGCCACGAACTCATACCGGTCCCTGCTCTCCCGGTCCAGGATCACAGCGGTGGAGATGATGCCAGTGTCTGCGTCTACCTCCAAGTCCCTGAGCACGTACGAGTCCCTGCTCTCTGAGATGAAGAAGCCGGAGCTGGGTCCGCTCAGAACCGCTCCCAGATCCCCCACGATGGTCTTCGCAGGCAGGCCCTCCTTCACAGAGAGCGTCAGACTGAACACCTGTCCGAGCGCTCGCACACAAAGCAGCGCCAGGACCAACATCTGGATCAGCGAGGCTGCGGCATTCCTCCTGCGACCCATCACCCCTTTACGCACGGTTTCGTCAACTCCCGTGTTTAATGAAGACGTCAGACCTCGACCCCTCCGCGCCGAAAAAACTCAGTCAGGCTTTAGAGCCATTAAAAAACAACTTTTATTTGCGCGCAAGAGATCATTCAGCAACTTAGAAACTCAAATGAAACAAATGTTGCGCAAATCTCCTTTGGTGCCTGAGTCAACATGGCACCTCCAAGTGCCAAACGTGCAATGAGCGGCTCCTCCTTGCAGACAGCACGACCCACGCTGACAGCTCCATCTGGGGCCCAGATTAGTTCAGATGTAATTAGGCCGACGGATTACACGTTGCGCATTATGTCTGACCTGCTGAAGATCAAACTTGGACACTGGACAAAAGAGAGGTGTGGGGTGGGGGTGGGTGTGGGGGGTGGGGCTTAAACAATCGAGCGTTGCAGGTTTAACGGGATTTGAGCAAGACGCGCTGAAAAGGTGTCAGAGTGGCTCCCTCTGCTGGCGAAGCAGAGCGACACCGGAGTCAAACTAAATATTGATTAAAACTGAAGTATAAAGTTAAATGTGAATGTTTACAATCAAATCAAAACAACATTTAATCTAAATGCTGAAATCTATGTGGGGATGAGGCCATTTTAAATGTAAATATAAAGTTAAAGTGGATTTTTTATGCTGTCCAATTGGAAACAACCTTCAAAATAAAATGGAGACAAGAGATCCCCTAAATAAAATATAAACAACTCAGTGATTTAAACTGAAATCATTAATAAATGTACAGGACGAGCCCCCCCCCCCCCCCCCCCCCATTTGTTGCATTTAAATGTGTTCTACAAATAAACGTGATTTGACAAGATAAATAAAAATGAAAAAGTTGCAAACTCTATTTTTTGGATGCGAGACATGCAGGTTTAAAACTAAATATGTACCCGGCCCATTTATATTTAACATTTAAACTTGATTTTACATTGAAATTTGTTTCAAAAGTGAAAGATTTTTATCTGCAGCACAACTGTCAGAAATAGATGTAAAATTAATCGTAAGTGAAATAAATCTGAGCAATTAGTAAAACTAAAAGATTTATCTTTTAAATAAACTTTAATGCTTTAAATGCTCTTATTTGGATCAAATTCTATCAACCTTCATTTTTATTTGCACCTTTACTCAACCAGGAAAATGGTAAATGGCTTTTATTTGTATATTGTCTTAGGGTTCGACCGACCCCCAAAGGTGCTTTACAACAGTCATTCCTTCACACGCTGGTGGGGATGAGCTACAGTCAAGTCCATAAATATTGGGACATCGACACAATGCTATCATATTTGGCTCTATACACCACCACAACGGATATCAAATGAAACGAACAAGATGTGCTTTAACTGCAGACTGTCAGCTTTTATTTGAGGTATTTACATCCAAGTCAGGTGAACGGTGTAGGAATTACAACAGTTTCATATGTGCCTCCCACTTGTTAAGGGACCAAAAGTAATGGGACAGAATAAGAACCATAAAACTTATACATTTCAATACTTAGTTGCAAATCATTTGCAGTCATTTACAGCCTGAAGTCTGGAACACACAGACATCACCAGACGTTGGGTTTCATCCCTGGTGATGCTCTGCCAGGCCTCTACTGTACTGCAACAGTCTTCAGGTCCTGCTTGTTCCTGGGGCGTTTTCCCTTCACTTTTGTCTTCAGCAAGTGAAATGCATGCTCAGTGGGATTCAGGTCAGGTGATTGACTTGGCCATTGCAAAACAGTCCACTTCTTTCCCTTCAGAAGCTCTTTGGTTGCTTTTGCAGTATGCTTTGGGTCATTGCCCATCTGCACTGTGGAGCGCCGCCCAATGGGTTCTGAGGCATTTGGCTGAATATGAGCAGATAATATATCCCGAAACACTTCAGAATTCATCGTGCTGCTTTTGTCAGCAGTCACATCATCAATAAATACAAGAGAACCAGTTCCACTGGCAGCCATACATGCCCACGCCATGACACTTCCAGCCCCATGCTTCACTGATCAGGTGGTATGCTTAGGATCACGAGCAGTTCCTTTCCGTCTCCATACTCGTCTCTTCCCATCACTCTGGTACAAGTTGGTCTTGGTCTCAGCTGTCCGTAGGATGTAGTTCCAGAACTGTGAAGGCTTTTTTAGATGTTTGGCAAACTAATCTGGCCTTCCTGTTTTTGGGGCTCACCAATGGTTTACATCTTGTGGTGAACCCTCTGTATTCACACTGGTGGAGTCTTCTCTTGGTTGTTGACTTTGACACAGACACACCTACCTCCTGGAGAGTGTTCTTGATCTGGCCAACTGTTGTGAAGGGTGTTTTCTTCACCAGGGAAAGGATTCTTCGGTCATCCACCACAGTTGTTTTCCGTGGTCTTCCGGGTCTTTTGGTGTTGCTGAGCTCACCGGTGCGTTCCTTCTTTTTGAGAATGTTCCAAACTGTTGTTTAGGCCACGCCTACTGTTTTTGCTATCTCTCTGATAGGTTTCTTTTGTTGTTTCAGCCTAATGATGGCTTGCTTCACTGATAGTGACAGCTCTTTGGATCTCATCTTGACAGTTGACAGCAACAGATTCCAAATGCAGATATCACACTAGAAATGAACTCTGGACCTTTTATCTGCTCATTGTAATTGGGATAATGAGGGAATAACACACACCTGGCCATGGAACAGCTGAGAAGCCTATTGTCCCATTACTTTTGGTCCCTTAACAAGTGGGAGGCACATATGAAACTGTTGTAATTCCTACACCGTTCACCTGACTTGGATGTAAATACCCTCAAATAAAAGCTGACGGTCTGCAGTTAAAGCACATCTTGTTCGTTTAATTTGATATCCATTGTGGTGTACAGAGCCAAAAATGATAGGTCCAGTATTTATGGACCTGACTGTACATTATAGCCAAGGCTACCCTGGGGAGCACCGAGAGAAGCGAGGCTGCCAAACAGACGCCATCGGTCCCTCCAACCACCACCAGAAAGCTAGGTGGGTTAAGTGTCTTGCCCAAAGACACAACAGCATTCTCTGGTCAGAGCCGGGATCAAACTTGCGATCCTCTGAAGTCCCACTGAGACCAGAAACGTCTTCTAGATGGAAACCATTGTTTCTTTCAAGTATAGAACTGGATAAATAAAATTAATCTCAGCTATTTGATACAAATACCCAAAAATGTTTTGATAAAATATTCAGACAAAAAACTGGGTTTACTTTCCTCACCGAGAAGTTCTACATGAATGTGTTGCTAACTTAAGTTCTTGTGTGTGAATGTTGATAATATGGCTGATTAAAATAAAGTTTAATAGAGAACAGCTACTAAACAAGAAGCACCGTTAAAATAGTGGTGCACTGATATGAAATTTTTGGGCCGATACCGATATAAAAATCAGTTATGGCCAATAACCAATATTTGCCAATACAAATAAACTGACATTAATGCTTCTAAAATCAGATTTTGTATAGAATTAAAATGATTAAAGCTGAATTTACGTTATGTACACACACCATACACATTTACGCTTCTGAGATAACAATCACTGTTCACATGACTAAACAATTACACCCGCCCCAAATGATAAATACATGGAGACAAGATGGAAAAAATATCGGTTGTCAATATCGGCCCAGTTTTATTAATCGGACCGATACAGATGTTAAAAAAAGGACTAACATCAGCCGATACCGATTTTGATGCCGATATATTGTCCATTCCTAGTTAAAATCAAACAAAAACAAAGTAAATAAAGACAGATTTTTATTCAAATGGAGCAAAATAAATGTCACTTTTCAAGCCAGAACAAATGGGAGCATTGCGTCTGTACAACTAACAGCTACTGAAGTAATAAACGTTTTTCCCTCCTGCTGCAGGTTTCGACCCTACAGAGAATGAAGTCTACACTGAAACAGCATTTAGGGAGTAACGGTCATGACACTGTTCTTACAAAAAACCTGCTGCGTGTTTAAAGAACCAGAAGTTAAACTGACAGGACGACAAAAAAAAAAAACTGCTCAGAATCTCTTTCTCTTCAGGATTTCTGGTTTCCAGTTGACCGGGTGACTTTCTTCAGTCTGAAACAAACAGAACAAAAAGGTTAATTCATCTCTTTGTTGCCTTAAAATCTGCACAGAGAAGGCTTTGGCAGCAGGAAAACAACTCACAGCCGTGTCGTCCTCTTTGTACACTTTAATGGTCTTGTCTGCCTCTGCGGTGATCAGTCGGCTCTCTGAGTGGTCGAACAGGCAGGCGAAGATTCCCGACTCGCTGTCCAGAGATCCGGGCTGCACGGCGGCATGAATTCTCTGGAAGTTGTAGCCTGTCCTCCAATCCCACATGTGCATGGTTCCATTATCAGCTAGAGGACAGAGTCATGAATTCATTATGAATCCAACCTAAAGCCTCATCAGTGTTTGGAGTGAAGGAGGTAATTATTACCTCCAGACACCAACACGCCATCAGAGTTGACAGCAAGCGTGTTAATAATGGCGTTGTGGCCTGACAGATTCTGGATGAAGTTGCCATCTGGGAACTTCCACTGCTTGATGTTATCAGCTGATCCTGATGCAAATGTGTATCTGTGGAAAGAATGAAAAAACTTGCTAAATTACAACCCTGTAGCTCAGATGTAATCCACAATCCAGTCAGGGGTGTACCTAGTGACCCCTAAACGGATCAAATACAACCCAAACTTTTCATGGATGCATTTGGTTAGGTGTTAGAACTGCTTTTATTACAGAGAAATGGTGAAAACACTGATGACTGAGTAGGCCCGTTTCTACTATCGGAAACTCTGGGTAACTTTACCGGACCTTCGTGGCATGTGCATTTCTCCTTTTCACCTGGCAGACCCAAAAGCTCCACTTCAGGGACCAAGTACCTGCACTGGGGTATGTACTCAGAAAAGACCTGGAGAGTCACTGGGAAAGACTTAAAGAGCAAGTCACCCCCAAATCAACTTGTTTTTACTGATTAACTATATAAATGAGTGTCTAATTGTGAAAACTGTCAGTGTTGCGCCCTCTGCAGGTAAAAACTCAGCACTGCATTTGAATTTAAATCTGCCATTGCTATTGGTTAAGAGGTACCCTATGACATTAGCTGGTACATTATAATGTCGCACAGTGGGGTGTGTATTTGTTAACGGCTCCGCCCTCTCGGTCAGTTTTCCTTTCAAACAGGAAGTGGGAGTGGAGTAAGACTGTGGTAGGGGGTGACTTGCTCTTTAATTCACGACTGGTTGTAACTCAGTAGGAAATGACATCGGCAGAAATTGCCCAAAACAACCTGTATTTGTTAAATTGGAAGACTTACTGGTGAAGCACAACGGAAGGAAAAGAAATTGTTGTTCCTAAACCCCCAAAGGCAAAATATTAACACCCCCCCCCCCCCCGAATGGCACTGTTTTGTGGTCTCCTGCAGGATGATGTTAAAAACTGTTTCCACTCTCCCCCTCACTGTTTGCTATCTTTATCGAACCACTAGCGGCAGCAATTAGGCAAACAACAGATATTAAAGGGATAAAGTGTAAGAAAATAGAACATAAGATCAGTCTTTATGCAGATGATGTTTTACTCTTTCTCCGGAATTCTCAATCCTCTCTCTCCCAAGCAATAGAACTGATAAACTCTTTTTTAAGAGTTTCCTCTATAAACTGGTTAAAATCCACAGTTCTACCAATTAATTTCTCTTTTGTCAATTTACTTAATACACAATTGGAGTAAGGGAATATCACATACCTGGGAATTAATATCTCTCCCAAGTTAGCAGATCTAACCAAACTAAACTACATCCCACTTTTAAAGAAAGTGGAAGATGATCTTGCAAGATGGAAATCCTTACCAATATAACTCATGGGGAGAGTTGCTACAATTAAAATGATGGTCTTACCCAGAATAAATTACTTATTCTCGATGATCACAAACAAACCACCAGCTGACTGGTTTAAATCTCTGGACTCCTCAATTACTAAATTCCTTTGGCAGGATAAACCTCCACGAATTAGCTTAAAAACGCTTCAGAAGACCAAAGATAGAAGAGGACTGGATCTACCCAACTTTTATTATTTTTCTTAGCCAACAGGCTGCAATATATACCAAGATGGTTGCAAGATAACCCACTAGATGAGTCCTGGTTAGATATGGAACAGACACTTTGCAATACGATAGAGCTTTCAGACTTACCATTTATTAGCTCAAGCATAAGAAAACATGAAGGCTTCAAAAGTATTAGTATCATCACCTCTCTGACAGCATGGTGGGAGTATCTTAAAATGACAGAGTCTACACTAGTACCATGCAGACGCACACCTATCTGGAAAAATCCTGATATTTTGCAAAATAACAAAATGATGAACCTTCCGGACTGGAAAAATAAAGGGATCCTATACCTGGAACACATATATGAAGGACTGGACTTCATCCCATTTAATAGAATAGTCTCCCAATTTGGAATGGATAAGAATAGCTTTTTAGAATATCACCAAATTAAATCTGTAGTCAAACAAAAATTTAAACTCAATAAAGCCAATCAATTGGCTAACGTGAGGACTTACTGTCTGGGGTGCAGCACCAGAGTTCGGACAGATTTCTTGTGGTTTGTCAGAGTTGCTCTGGTCTTCCCAGCGATCAGATCCCAAAGCCTGATGGTTGCATCGTGACTGCCTACACACACACACACACACACACACACACACACACACACACACACACACACACAGTTTTGTCACCTGCAAACATGAAACTGCCTGCTTAAAACCTGAACTCTTGACACTTTAGATCAGCTCTACCACAGAATCTGTGTTCCTTTAAATCAAAATGAATAAAAGACTTCTGAAGTGATTTATAATATAGTGTATAAAAATTAATCTCGTGCATCACTCGGGCTCTTATTTTGATAAGGTGCACCACAGCATTCATGGTGGAGTGTTTCCCCAAGTCAACAAGTCATCAAGTTAAATAATGATTTCACCAATAACAAACACAATGGAGACCAAGCCCCCCCCCCCCAAGTGGAGCAGCCATAATCACTGTTATTGGCTTCAAATCTACTCACCAGTGATGATCTGTGGCTCTACAGCCTGACATCTGACTGTAGCCACCGTGTTGGTATGACCAGTAAGTGTGTGCACGTTTGCTTTTGACCTGATGTCCCACACCTAAAAGCACAAAGAAAATCCAGTCCCAGTCAGGATTGGGATTAAACAAGACAGAGGCCTAATCCCACCAAACTAGAACCATATTGGTCTCATGGTTTAAAACAACACACACATTCCCTTTCATCTCTAGGTTACACATCACTGATGTTTTCCTCCTCCTCAGCTCGGGTGCAGAGCGGCACACACGCACTGACAGCGACGTTTTCACTGGGGAGAGTTGCAAAGCGATTCCCTGCCAGGACAACAGAGGGCGTCGCACCACCACTGCAGTCACATCTCTGGTCCAGGATAGCATATTAACTGTAGTTTGTGTTTGTATTGTGTGTTTGTGTATTTCAGAGACGTTCTCTTCCACCTCTTCATGCAGTCGCCACCTCTACACCCACATTTCCCATCAAGCTCCAACACAGCCCAAACTAAACTCACCCTCGCTGAGGCGTCTCGGCTGCATGTCACAAGCACATCGATGGTTGGATGTAGATCCAAATCATACACAGCACTGAGGTGGCCATGGTAGTGCCTGATTACCTGGAAGACAAACCAATGCTGTCGTGAGGCTGTAAAAATACCACAACTGCTATAAATACACAAAACCAAGTTATTTTAGATTAAATAGAGTAGTAAATATGCCTGTGGTACACAGGTCTGTACTAGAAACCGGTGTGTGTTTCTGTTATGATGTTAATCTTTCATATGCTGCTGACATGGTGAATAGCTCAGACAAGGTCTGGAATGTGGGAAAGTGTTTCAGCGGGGGACCAAATTAACTGCTCCACAGTCACACCAAAGTAAAGTAAACATTTAGCATGCTAAGTGTGAAGCTAGAAGAGGTAGCAGGACTAAAACTTATGTTTGTCTGTCATAAATCTGCGTTGTTAATGCACTAAAAACACAGAACATGTTGTCTACATGCAGTTTCACACCGATATTGTGTTTTGGGCACTTTTGGTTAAGGCCAGGCTAGCTTCGGTTTGTTCAGCTCTCTGCTGATTGGCTGCCAAGGCTTTGGGGTTGGACTAGTGCACCAGGAAGAATTGGCGGCTGCCTGGACCGATTCACAGCAAAGACTACGCCTTTTTTTTTATGTACAATCTTTCGAAACCTGTAAGTGGTCAACATGTCATGCTGGCCATTACCAATATACTTTAATGTATAATGTATACAATTCTAAATGCTTTCATTACTCTGATGTTTGTCTTGCTAACAGATGTAGCCTAGCAAACAACCTGTTCGTAGCAGGTGCTTTTTGGTTCAGACCGACTCAGGGTTTATGTGGAGTGTAGCGTGGGGAAAAAAATGCCCTCAAATACCGTAAAACTGATGCTTCAACATAGAGCTGGGCAATAAATCGAAAATTTATCGTTAAAGAAATTTCTGACTCTTATCGAGATCATTGTTCCCATGTCAAGTAATTTGATAATAAAAATGAAAATATGTGTAGGTCGGCAACATTCATGTCCCTTTAAGAAGCTGTTCCACCTTGAGTCACGTAAAAGTGTGAGTTAAGGTGGTACATGTGACAGCCCCATCTAGTGGACAACTTTTGTTTCTGCGCAAACCTGTAGTTATCGTCCATTTATCGTTATCGAGGTGAAATCCTCACTATATCGTGATACTGATTTTAGACTGTATCGCCCAGCCCCAATTCAATATGAAAAATGTACCATGCCGCCCAGCCCCAGTTGTACTAAATTTGCACAAAAACTCCTTTAAAAAAACTTCCTGATGACCCTGAGCTAATCCAAACAACGTACCTTGTTGTACTCCAGATCCCAACACTTGACCTGTTTATCTTCTCCACAGGAGAAGAGGTACGGACTGCGGCTGCTCACTGCTACACCACGAACGGTACTGATGTGTCCAGTCAGAGACAACTTCAGCTTCCCACTGGCCAGGTCCCAGATCTGTAGAGACAACCACCTTCCAGTTATCTCTGGATCATCACAGAAGCTTTAACAGCAACAGAGCCACCTTGGTATCACTCCCAAACGTTTTAACCCTTACCTAACATTAAAGCATTTTTTTGTGCTCAAATGACATTAACGTTAGAAAATGTAAACGTTGGGTAAGGGTTAAATACTGAAAGGATTTCTTTTTAAAAAACTGTATTGCAATGTCTGCACCTACACAAAATACAACAACCTGAATGTTTTACCAGCTCTAGATCAATAACAGCTCTTTACAGAATAGGAAAAACTATTTGGTGGAGAAGATGAAGTCTAATAACAAATCTAGACAGGTTCAGTCCTCTGAGACTTGTTACCATTAGAGACAAAAAGTAGCTTAAACCTGTTAATAAAGAATATAAAAAGCAGTTTAAAACCCTAGACCATTACTGATCCCTCTATCAACAGAGCTTTACTGCTTATATGTATTTATGGAGAATGAATGAATGAATGTAATAACAAACACATAAAAGCTGGTGTTTTACTCAGCCCGCCCGACCTTTATAGTTCTGTCTGCTGACCCCGTGACGAACCACTGATTTCCCGGTTCCACGGCGATGGATCTCACCCAGCCGAGGTGTCCGCTGATAACCTGACAGATAACGGTCACCACAGTTAAACAAGGCAGCTTCTAATTATTAATGTTGTAAACAAATGCAAGACAACTTGTGAAACAGTTGTTACGAACCCGAAACAGTTTCCACGGTGGATGCCACTGAGGTTTGGGCATTGTTGGAGCTCTCCTTATGAGCGCTGAGTTTCTGGTGCCACCTCCATCTAAGAGAGACTAAAAGATATACTTCAAAAGGTCATTAAGGATTTTTTTTAAGTAGCATGAAAGACTTATGAGTAGAAATAAACTGGCCAACTGAACGACACATTCATTAGCATTATAATGTAATTTTTATATTGTAAAATTAGTTTTGTATGTTTGTGAAGCATTCTGTCTTGCAACACTGTTCTGCTTACAGAATTTGATGCGACACTACCAGAATGAATAAGCAACATAAAAGTTCCATGGTGTTAAAGTTAGCTGAGCTCGCTATTTGTTTTTTAATTTATTTTCAAATTAGTGATTTTCTACTGCAGAAAAGAAACCCAATCTCTACTGGATTATTAGCTTTACACGTCTTTTTAAGACTCTATAAGCACTAACAAGCATTCTGGAAAAGTAAATTCACTGTGGTTTACCACTGCAGTGGACGGAGGGTGAATTCTCTCTGCTACTCCTGCATGTCTATGGATCTCTGCAACGCTGGCTGCAGTGCGACTGGCGTCCTGCCTGAAAGTACATGACATAGAGTATGTCAGAATATTTATTTTAACCATAGATCTGTATGCCAAATTGTTACCAGCATGGATTAAAAATAAATAATAGCCTACCTTGCTAGTGAGGGTGGTAAAGCCAGTGTCAAGGAGTGCACCGCTCCTTCACTGGGATTCCTGTGGATTTTAGTGTCGGCGGTGAGTGCCACACCTGTGGAGCACAAGCTACTGTTAGCACAAAATTAAAAGTAGTGCGGATTCCTAAAGTAGCAGAAAACAAATCTACCTGGTCCAGATGGATAAGCATTGGTCCCGGTAATCAGGTATTCTGGATCATCGCCTAAATAGTTTTAACAGAGTGAAAACATTATTAACTTTGGCTTAATCGCTCAAAAGAAGTTAAACAATCTATGTGATCCATAAAACTATGCAATATTTATTTTGACGGTTAACTAAGAAACAGTCACAGTGTGTTGCTCCCTTACCTAGCTGTGGGTAGCTCTGATGGCTGAGCATGCCGTCAGGATGATGTGAGACTCTTTCTCTGCCCTCCTTTAGGATGGGCATGTGTAAAACTGGTCCATACTCTGTCTTTAGTTTCACACCCATCTTCTGTTTGTGACTGCAAACACAGTCATTCATATACATGTTATACCGCCAAAATGTAAATGTTATCTAATTGAGCAACAACTCTAAACACCGTAAAAAATAGTTTCCTCAGAAAATATAAGCTGAGCAAACATCCATGTTTCTTCACTGAACGTTAAGCAAAAAACGTATCCCGGCGCATTAGAAAACATTAGTGAGGTTTGATCTGTAAATATTTACAAACACACTTTGGAAGCAGCCTGGGTTACCTTTCGTCATCCAGAGCGATAGCTTTAGCATGGTCGGCTACGAACATGTCATGCGTCCTTTTCAGCGATCTGAAGACCAATGTGTGGACAGAGTGCTTCTGGACATCCTGTAAAAAGCGAGAATTTTATTTAAAAAACATCGCATATAACAACCTAATAAAAAGTTATTTCTCACTCAATAAACAGTGAAACGGGCAGAAAAAGGCTATCAATTCCAGTAAATAGACAGGCCCGGGAGTGTGTTGGACGTTTCCTAACATCCTAGCGGACACAAAAGACATACATGAATGTATAAATCCATACCTCCGTCATTTTATAGAGGAATATACCGATAGAACAAAACTGAGGAGGAAATAAAGGTCTGCCTCGGTAAGTACAACTTGGTAGTAAAATAAATCCTCCTGACCACCACGACAAACCGAACGTTTGAGATAACCCGGAAGTAAACACGACCAAGAGTTGTTAAAGTTATATCAGCGCCACCTACCGGTTTGGATGATTCAACCACTTTTCCTGTTCATCATCAAGGGCTAAAATGTGACAGTTCAACGTATGAATAAAGCATAAAATTATTATTTAAATGTTTAATTGTTATTAAGGATATTTTCTATCAAATGACCCACCATGCTAGTTATGAGATATCTAAACTGCAGCTGTTACACACCTGCTTTAGACTCTATCAAAACCTGGATGGTGGGAGCTTTCTTCAGCTGAATGAAGATAAGACTGAGATCCTCATCTGTGCCCCAGACAAGCTGGTTCCCAAAGTCAAAGACTCTCTTGGTCAGCTTGCTTCTCACACCAAACCTTCTGTCAGGAATCTTGGCGTGACCTTTGACCCAGCTCTCACCCTGGATTCTCATGTCAGTTCTGTCATGCTCTGAACTTCAGATTTCATCCACACCTTCGTCTCCTCATGCTTGTCCTGCAACATGCTTTTCACTTGTCTGGCTTTGCGTGACCTCATGATCACCCTATTCTTCCTCAATAGCTTCTTTTCAAGCTGGTGTTTCTGTTAATTCTATCTTTTTCAGGATCCAACGATAAGCTTCGATCTTTTTAAATAATAGAAAAAATGTTTTTTGTCATTTTTATTTTTATATGAACCACCTCGTGATTTTTTAATTGAGAGGTGCAATATAAAATTGTTATTATTATTATTATTATCAAAAATAAAAACAATAATAACATAATTTGGATTGACAAGGTTGACAGATTAAATTAATTCATGATGCACAGTAACACAGAAATACAACCAATTAAAATTTATGTCAACTGATGTTAAAAGATTTAAATAATAATTAACGTTCTAATGCATTTGAAAATAGTCCGTAGAGAAACAGATAAAGTAAATTGAATTTGGTAGGAGCAGTCCTGAAAATCACGTTTCATACCAATACACTCAAGTGTTTATTTGCAGAGTCATACAGCTCAATTTTCTGAGCTAAAAACCCCACATTTTATTTTTTACATGGCACTGGAATTTACTGCGAGTCAGATGAAGTTTGAACTCAACCATAGCTTTCTGAGGTGAATGTAATGATGCATCAGTACAAATACTACCAGAACAAAACTCAGAGTAGATCATTTGTTCAATTGTGAGCACAAAATAAACAACCAGCCTGACTTCTTATTAACTCCTAAGTGTAAGTTCTTATTCAGAGCTGGAACATTTGAGAATATAATCTCTGTTCCTTCTGAAAAATGGCTAACTGTGAGGGAAAGTGGAGGTTTGCATTTGTAAGATTACACCAAATAAATTAGATAATGAGAAAGGTTTAGAAGTGGGACAAACAAATTAAACAGCCAAGTTATTAAAAGAAATTGATTCCATGTAAACATTTGTGTGTACGGTATTTCTGAGCTCACAAAGTCAAAAATCATACAAACACTTTTTAAGTTAATAACCACATTACTGGTGAGAAAAATACATTTATTCAGTGCTTGAAAGGCAGAGTTGAACATCAAAACCATCTTTTGGGTCATCCAAACATCCCAGAGAGATGCCAGATATTGTTTATTCTTGATCTGAAGGCTGTTAAAAAACAGCAAAGCTCATTATTTCCGCTCTCTAAAGCCCAAACTGTTTCACTCCGGCTTGCTGTCCATCTCCTGCATTGATGCGATTGAAGGGGATAATCTTCATGGTCGTCTCCTTCAGGGAGTACCAGCGATTGTGCCATGTGACCCAAATGATGCCGTTGTCGAAGCCGTAATCACCAGCATCCTTTTCTGTGTATCTGCCTCCTAAATGAACATGACACAGCAAGATCAGCTCTGGAGGCATTTCGGTAAGAGATTTAAAGCGACAGTTCATATCTTTTGAAGTGGGATTCTCTGGAAAAAGTTATGAACGAAATATTTAGCCTGCTTTTGAAAGGTCATTAAATGACTTCAGTTTGAAGAATATACAGATGTGTTATGAGCAGGTTGACAAGCTAACTGCTTGTCACAATGCGGCTGAGAAAAAAGTGGATTACTTACAGCTTAAACCTGGTCCAATATTGAAAATCCTAAAGCAATCTACACTGTGAACATTTCACATAATGTGGTTATGTACTAGGGGTCGTATGAACTAGTCAACTAGTCGACTTCACTGCTCTGTAGTGACTTTTATGCCTGTCATCGACTAGTCGCTGTCACGTGATAATGACCGACAAGATGCAGTCCACGGAAAAGACAGCAGGTGACGAGCCCCTGCGCGTCGGGAGGCAACACGCTGTGCCAGAGCGTCGGTACTGACACCCGCCGTAAAACGGACATTTAACCAAATTGTGACCTTTACCCTCTTGCAATTTAACCTTCCCCTCACCCCCATCCTAACCTTAACCAGCTTGCGCATGCAAAGCTCTGATCCTTGACGCGCTCCAGACATCTGCGTCCCGAGCACGGCCACAGTATCATTATCAAATTAGGTGTCGCCACCTCAAAAACTAATTTAACACGCGATCGTTCATGTCGGCTCATTTCCTTTAATGTTTTCTGTCTTTTATTTGTGCCTGATGCGTTTCGTTGCTGTGGATCGGGGCGCATCACCTGTTTTGTCCTCCGGTGACGCACCTCACCGGTGCGGCCGGCGAGCACTCCACTGTTTTAGCGGTCGGTAGATCTTTTAGAACTGTGGTTCAAAGGTAACTCATAAGGTGAATATATATGAACCCAGGTAGCAGTTTTTCTTTAGGACTGAGAGGAGATGCAGGAAGATAAAAAACAGACAGGACAGAAAAATAGTCAAATAAAAACAAGTTAGTTTTTGTACCTGCTGGTTGCAACAAACAAACACCATTGAAGGTAATCAGAAGTGAGGAACAGAAAAAATATTTTAATGTTTAGAGCAGCAGGAACTCTGAGAGGCTGCAGGCGCATCAGTGAGTTTGCGGCCGTGGCGCAGGGGGAGGGGGCTGAAGCGGGGGAGGGGGGAGGGGGAGGGGGAGAGGGCTGAAGCAGAAACTACCGTTGTTAAAAGAAATGTGTTTAACTTTGAAAATGTGGGCGCAATTTTAATTGTCAAAAACTCCAGCGAACCAACCGACCCCCCCCCCCCCCCCCCGCTTCAGGTGTGTGACGTCATCAACTACTAGTCAAAGTCGACTCGATTTTCATTACTTGACTGTCGACTTTAAAAAAAATTAAGTCATGCAACCCCTAATGTACACAGATTTTTGTGGTTATTTCAATGTGCAAATAGCATTAGCAGCAGCTAGCTACAGTAATGGTGTAATTCCAGCTTGAATTAGATGGCATCAATTCATTTTGGTTCACTTATGCTATCATCAGTCCAGTGAAAACTGATCCCTATAATAATAACGCATTGAACTTATATAGCGCTTTTCTAGACACCCAAAGACGCTTTCACACACTGCTAGTGATGGTAAGCTACTTGTAGCCATAGCCGCCCTGGGGGGGACTGACAGAGGTGAGGCTGCCATTTGGCGCCGTCGGCCCCTCTGACCACCACTAACACAGGCAAGTTGGGTGAAGTGTCTTGCCCAAGGACACAACAGCAGGATACCCCTGGCGGGAGCTGGAATCGACCCCATGACCCTCCGATCATGAGGCAACCCGCTCTACCACCTGAGCAACTGCTGCCCCGTATTAACTATAGGAGTTCCAGGAAATTTCTAGGAGGGGGAAATTGACCAGGAGATACAATGGCTTGGTCGTCTCAGCTGTGTCTCCATACAGAATCAGCCCTTTCAGGACTTTGCTAAGATATCGCATAACACAACCGTTTTGGCAATGAGTGATGTCACGGAGCAGCACCAAAATGCATCCACGAACAATTAATTCTGCCAAAGTGCACCATAATTTAATCCATTCAGAAGACCAGGAGGGTGGCTGTGGGATGTAAAATGTTGGGCTCAATGACCAGAAGAAGTGCCTTTTCTACTGTGCTCTCTGTGAGACAACAAAGCCCTGTGATTTACATTGTTATGGAGGATTTCCACTGCCTCTTTTGTGTTGGGAACTTAGAAATGAGGATTTTAAATCAACGTGAATGGTGCTTATTTTCTTTTCCTTCCATTCTGCTTCACCTGCAACTCTACCAATTTTACAAGTGCTGGTGGTTTTGGGTGATGTGTATCCTAATGAGGTACAACCAATCAGTGTGAGCTGACCAAACATCTCACCCTACCGGGCCATTCTGAGTACCCAGGTACTCCATTGGTTCCTAAAAATAGCCTAAAATAATCCTTCACGTTTCTTGCTGAAGTGGACACACTCGCATGACTTAAAGGTCCGGTAAAATTACCCTGACATTCCAATAGTGGGAACATGCCTTATGTCTTCAAACCAATGTTGTTCAAAGAGCTATCACCAAGGAAACTAATAGTTCTTAACTGTTTCTTGGAGGAATCCTTTTCAAAAGATCAGAACTATACATTTTAGCTTAGTTTTGTTCAGAAGGTCTCACCCTGGTAGTATTTTCCATTCAAATGTGCAGCATGACACCTGTTCATCCACCAGCCAGAGCCATCTTGGAGGGCACAGTTACCAGGATACCTGTCGTTGTCTCTGTCATAAGTACTGAACTGCATGCCGTTGTGGGATGTGTAGAACTTGTCGCTGGGGTCGTCTCCAAAGTCATAGCCATCAAAAGCATCACCTGCATTACCACCATAGTAGAAGCCATAGGTGAGGCGGTACATGTCAGCTTCTGACCCAATTCTGAACATGGTGTAGTCGGCATACCTGGAGAAAAACCATGAAAAACTTGATTTTTGACAATTGTCCTTTAAACTTTTCATGTTTCTTTAAAAAGGGTCATTTCAAAGTGAGGTGCTGTGGAAAGGTTAAAAGCACGATCTCATCCGTGGTTTAGAGAAGTGAAGTGAAACGCTAAAGAGGGCGATGAGCAAATGAAAAACCAAAGTGGCTACTGCTGCCTTAAAACAACACCAGTCTCAGAATTCTCCCAGCAGTTTGTGAAAGTGTGTGTGCCTGCGGTTTACTATCACACACGTTTAACAATTAAAATAGTATGCTAATCCAGGTGGAAGAGCTACTACTGCTGCTACTATACCCATGTAATGCCAAATGGATTGCATTGGGGACAGTTAATGCATTTTAGCATCAGTTGTTATGAATTTGTTTTAGATTAGTTTTAGTTTTTGACAGCAAACCACTTTGGTTCTTTACTCATTCAGACTTGCCATTAGCCTATCAATCCAGGAATATGTAAACAGTTTTTCCGATCCAGAAACTCTCTACAACAAGTAAGACGTTGATCTTTCACAAGCCCTTCTACAAAACATCACTACAAAAGATCTGAACATGTTGGGTCATGTTTGCTGTTCGATCTTGTTTCTTTGCTTTTCCTTACACAATCTTTTATTGTGTCTGTGTGTGGGTGGGTTCGTGTGTTTGTACTTTTTGTTGCCCTCCCAGTCAACAAGCTCGATCCTGAGCACCATCGGGAGAGCTGAGCTGATCGTCAGCTGATGGATCTTCTCGTTGCCGAGCCAGAATTCTGTTGTGTCATCTGGAGAGAGGTAGCCGAATCCCTCCTTGTACTGGACCCAGTCCTTAGTGAAGTTCAAGGCGCCGTTGCGTCTCTGTGGACATGAAAAATGAAACAAATCCAGTTTTGAATGTTTGGAAATCTTTTATGTCTCTCTGGAAGAAAAACATGCATGAGCAAAAGCAAGAAGGAGAAAGGTGATCCATACCCTCTGGATCACAGTGAAGCCTCTTCCGGAGCTGTCAATCTCACAGTAGACCAAGAACTGCTCTTGTGCTTTTATTGGCTTCACATAGTAAAGACCGCTAGTGGTAGCACCTTTGTTTGCAACATCCTGGCAGTCTGAAGAGAAGAAAATAAATCAACTCAAACATGTTGAGACGAAGTTCCTTTACTTAATTTGATGAGACTCATAAATGAAAGGTTAAGGCTAAACGATTAGGGCTAAAATGAGCACGTGTCCTCTGCTTGGATGATGCATATTGATTTCAGCCTTTGAATAAACACTGAACTGGGACAAATGTTGTTCAGTTGAGGGCAGATTGAGAAACTTATTGTGAAACAGGAATGGCCTGAAGGTCAGAGTGTGTCAATGTGTCTTTTTTTTTTTTTTACCTGTTCCTGTGGTAGTTTGGATCTCAACTGTGTCTCTGCAGGGTTCACTGCATTTTTGCTGCAGCTGCATTGCAAGCGTCTTCAGATCCCCCATTGTCCTCTCATTAGAGGAGATTAAATCGTTAAGCTCCCTGGAAACAGCGTCACAAACATGGGTTGTGTCTAAAAGTCACTTTATTGCTTTGTAACCACAACTTTGGAAATATGCCAGTAAGGATTGTCATGTTTATTATTGACAGTGGAGACAAATGGAGAAAAAAAAATGAAGAAGAATAAACTAAGAATGAAACTGAGAAAAAAATGGGCTGGGAAATTTCTCAATGGCTTGATTTAAAGGGGACATGATATACAAAACCACCTTTTGCATCCTTTAGTGTTAGCAGGCAGATCTCTACTGCCTCTATAAAAACTCCACATGTAGCAAAAATGCATTGATGCGTTTTTTTTTGTCAGGGTTTGGTTTTGAGAATGATGTGCCTAAAACAATCCGTTTCAAAAGGCCCTCGTTTGTAAGGTCACAAACTGGGAAATTAGAATAGAACCACTTCTCACATGTAAGAGAGGGCTGCTGCTGGAGGAGCAGCAGTTCTACTCCAAGCCCCTCCCAGACATCAGAGCTTCTCAGCCTATAGGAGCCTGAGCAAGGTTGGGTGGGCATGGCCAGCTCCAGTTTGTGATAGAGACCTTGAAACGGCTCATTATGGAAGTTCTGGATCTGACAAATATAAAAATCTCTGAGAAGGCTTCATGTGAGAAGATTTCAGTGCAAACAACTTTAAAAACACGTCTTGTATCGAATATGTAACTTAAGAAAAATAATTATATATTGTATCTGTATAATTTGTTTTGAAATAGATTTTCAAAAAGTTTTTACTTCTTCCAGATGACTGAAATTACTTTTCTATTATGAATGATGACTACAATGTTCTAAAAGGTGTCACAGTTTTTGAGAGTGTTCTTTTTGGATAAAATACAAGACAAAAAAGTAAAAGAATATAACAACTCACTAATACATGAAGCTGGAGGATATGAGTTGTGACGCCTCAAAAGGCATTTATGTCATTTATATTTTATGTTTCATTTAAAGTTATTCATTTGTATGTTTTTAAGTTATAAAGAACAGTGAATAGGTTAAAATGTTAAATGGGAAGATTTTATTTTGAAGGTGAACTTACTAATAATCTCACTTCCTGCTGGGTTACCTGTATTGGTTAATTTCCTGTTTACCTCCTCTTACTGGCTGCTCTGAGAGTGAGAGTGGCATGCGGTCATGCTCTGAGGCTTATCCACAGCCAACCACTTGGGAATGTTGTTAAAAAATACAAAAACAAAACTATTTTATTTGTGTTCCACAATGATTGATTTGTACATGTTAAAAGAGGAATTTGTTTGATGGTCATTTTCTTTCCTCAGGCTAATACAATTACGTCAAGTCTTATTTTGAGCTAGTTTGTGAGGCAATATTTATGTAAACATGATAATTTATTCTGTTCTGTATTTGTTTTCAATTACAGTTTTCACCGCTTGTCAAATGAAGGCTCTAAGAGTAAAAGGTCAACTCTACTCTGACTCCTTTACTATTTGACAAAGGTTTAGCTTGGTGTTTACTCAGAGTTGCTACACTGCAACAGGACACTACATGAGTGTTTTAAAAGAAAGACGCACGCATTAGTTTACTTTCTACAAATAAACTAATGAAAAGATGTGAAATATTGAACTAAAAACTGTAAAATAACATTTAGCTGACATCATGTCCTCACACACTAGAAACATAACGTCTAAATGCTGACCGTAACTCACAGAATTTGCTGTTCTTGTGCAATAATAGTCTTTTCAAACCGAAGGACATCATCCAGCATGCTGGAGGACCTCTTAAAGTACGGATCTGAAAATCCCAACAAACCAGATTAGTGACACAAACAATCCTCTCGTGTAAAATCTCATCTGTGTTTTACTGAACATATAAAACACTAAGGATAAAATCTAAACTGGAGTCTGAACCAGATGATGATGTCACCTGTCAGTGAAGATTTCTGAGCTGAAGTGGCCGAGTCTCGCATGTACACAATGGTTTCATCGGCTCCTTGAGTCAAATTTGTGATGGTCTCCAGTTCTGCTTGCATCGTCTTCAGGTCCTCGTTGACTCCAGGAAAATACCTCAGAAAGTAATCAGCAACGCCACACGTGGTGGGGCAATACTTCCCCTGAATAAATACAGAAACAAAAAGTTAGACTGCAAAAAAAAATCACTAAGTATGAGTTTGTGATGAAGTTAGACACTTACAAAGCCATCATTCATGTTGCATGATGCACTATTGTCTCCTCTGACTTGCTGCACACATAAAAACAAACGTCAGTATAATTTTTCTTCACGAATAAACATTTTACATAAAATTAAAGCCACTTACAGCTGAAGAGAGTGAGAAAAGTAGGAGAAGAACTCCTGTTGTTGCTTCTAGTGATGATGCCATGCTGATTCAGCCACCAGTTTGTGGTTTTTTGGGAGAGTGAAGAGCTGCTGGACTCCGAGGGTTATTTATCTGAACAAGGTCCCCCGATCAACCTTTGATAAGAGTGTCCACATGCAAACATCCCACTCACTTTGTTGTTCCAGACCTGTGAGTCAAACGTCCGACCGCAGCTGATTCCCAGATGTGACGCTTTCGAATGGACAGTTGGGTTTAGAACATCTGCGTGAGTGTGTGTTGGTTAGAGGTCCTGTGTGAATGATGACACAGGTGTGTTTTGTTCTTTTTGCTCATATTTTCCCGTCAAGATAGTAATTTATTTGGTACATTAGTAAAATCTTTACTTCATTGATTTAAAATTGATTTAATGAAGGGCTGCTGGTGAAGTATATGCTACGTTTTGGCCTTCATTTGCAGCTGGTGGCATTTGTGAGCACACTAGTTCTTGAATAACTCCACTGGTGCAAGCTTGACTTTTCTCATATCAGCTGCAGCTTCAGGATAAACATTACCCATTAGGGCAGCAGCAGCTTAACAGGTTGAGCGGGTTGTCCAGTTATCGGAAGGTTGCAGGTTTGATCCCGGCTCCGGACAGAGAATTCTGCTGTTGTGTCCTTGGGCAAGACACTTTACCCACCTTGCCTGCTGGTGGTGGTCGAAGGGACCGGTGGCGCCTGTGCTCGGCAGCCTCGCCTCTGTCAGTGCGTCCCAGGGCAGCTGTGGCTACATCAGGGCTCATTACCATCAGTGTGTGAATGTGTGTGTGAATGGATGAATGATACACTGTAGTGTAAAGCGCTTTGGAGTCCTTACTCTGAGAGGCGCTATACAGGTGCGGGTCATGTATCATTTACCCCCAAAGTATCCCTCAGTAATAATATGTATTAAATAAACCTGAGCTATCAACGGGGCTTGCTGTTCTTTCAGTGTGTCTGCTTTTGTGTTCTTCACTAAATAGGATCTTTTCCAATCTGATTTTCATTTTAGTAAAATGTGGGACTGTACGTAACAAGAAAGGAGAAATTTCATGTATTTTAAACAGTTTTCTACTTTGCTACAAGTTAAAATATGTGATTGTTTATACTGTGAACCCCAACATCTTCTTGAAAGGCTCATGAACTTGGTGGGACTATATGACACAGTCCATAGTTGGTTCATATCTCACAGACAGGGGTTATGTTGTTTCTATAGGTGATCACAAAGCAAAGCAGATCACCATGACACGTGGGGTCCCCCAAGGCTCAATTCTTGGACCACTGCTCTTCAATCTCGACATGCTCCCCTTGGGTAAGGTATTATGCAACATTATCTGTAGGAGCCATATGTGTTTTCATTTTCTTTCTGCATACCTGAGAGGAGGCTTGGCCTCATTTGATTGGTCAATTGATTGTGGAAGCACCAGCCTACTTAAGCCAACACAGATTAGACTCAGGTGTTGCTGTGATGGGACAAACAGTTTTTTATTGTGTGGCTGTGTGTAACGGACTCTGCGGACTGTCATTGGGGCAAGTAATGCATTCACTGTAAACCACTTTAATTGCAAGTAAATGGATCATGGACATTTTGGAACAAGACAAAATAATAAACATCATCAGAAATAAACACAAGCTGCAATTCTTTTAAACACATGTAAAGACCACCACCCGCATCAGTAACCAGTAGTGCCAGTGTATAGGGCATTGGTATTACATTTCATTATTTATCATAGATATGTAGTTGACCTAAAGATCTCCCTAGCTCTATCACCTAGGGCAGCGGTATTCAACTCCGGGTCCAGGTCTTCTGCTGCACCTTCTGCACTGTAACTGTTTAACTTAGACTTTTAATCTTATTCTTACTACCAATTTTATTGGTATTTTAAAATTTGATTTTATAATCTGCTGTTGTCACGTTGATTTTAATGCTTTTTGTTCTTTCTGATTTTGCACCTGGAAAGGACATTGAATTGTTTCTGTGTCTGAAAGGTGCTATATAAATAAAGCTGCCTTGCCTTTTTTATCTTTCTGGGTGTTGGACAGGAGAACAGTGCATGATGTACCCGGCGTCTCGTTCGCTGCCAGCTGGATTACACTTTAGCCTCTGTGACTCAACATACAAACAAACCGTTAATATTCTCATTAATCTGTTCTGATAGATTTAAATCCAGTGTCACTGAAGGCAAAAAATGTGATTCAAATAATTTTTGTCTTTATAAAATCATGTTTATGGTGTTTTATCAAAGGTGATAACCCAGAAAAAGGTTTTTAAAGGATCTGCAGTGATTCTTTAGAGCTTTTCAACATGTCAGTGTATAGAGCTCCGGGAGTTGACGTCACTTCTCCCGGCATGCAACAGTTCAAATCGAAACAGCGCCATATTGGCAGGCAGAATCCCGCAGCTGGGCTATTTGTTATTGTCAGAAAACTCAATCAAACGGGAAATATGGTAGATTCCTGTTGTGCCCCAGGATGCAGAACAGACGCGGACGACATAAGGAATGGGCCATCTACAGGATTCCCCAAGATCCGGAGCGCCGCAAACGTTGGATCATTGTAATAAAACGCACTAGTGACCGGGCTGAAATGAAACTGTGGGATCCCGAGAGTAAAGGTTTTCGCTTATGCAGCGACCACTTCATATCAGGTACTTAAACCAACGTTTCCTCAACTGTGTATGGTATTTATTTTAAATGCTTTTATTACGATTCTTAGTGGGCTTCCTAAACTTATTTTAGCGTGGCTTTTTCTGTCTTACTACTCATAGCAGCAAGTAAACGTCACGTAAAACGGTGCCTCGTGTTTCTGCGTGCTGCCGTTTATGTGTTTTATGATCACAGCAATTAACCGGCTAAGCTGTATTTCATTTTTAAGCAATGGTTGATCAATTGTCAGATCACACATAAAAAGCACTTTGGATTGCTGTTGTCTGTCTCACCGAGACAGAACTCAGACAGATCCTGAGACGCTCCTGCCTGGCATATTTATTTTATTCACGAAAAAAAAATCAAACTAGTGATTTCTCTTGGCGTTCAGTTTATACATTCAAACAGCACAGCACTCTATTTAAACTACTTATGTGTAAATCTGTTATTTGTCCGTCCGTCCGTCCATCCATCCATCCATTTTCATCTGGCATCCATCCATTTTCATCCGCTTATCCGTTTTCATCCGGCATCCATCCATTTTCATCCGCTTATCCAGAGTCGGGTCGTGGGGGCAGTAGCGTCGAGAGGCCCTGACTTCCCTCTCCCCAGCCGCCGGAGCCAGCTCCTCCGGGTAAATCCCAAGGGGTTCCCCGGCCAGGTCCAGTAAGAAGTCCGCTCCGACAGCTTCTGGCGTCGGAGCGGGCAGTAGCGTCGAGAGTCCCAGACCTCTCCCCAGCTCCTCTGGCCGGGGGAATCCCAAGGGGTTCCCCGGCCAGGTCCAGTAAGAAGTCCGCTCCGACAGCTTCTGGCGTTTTTAAAAAGTATCCCAGGGACATGGTAAGGGTCGGAGATGTTTAGTCTATTTAATTTCTGACTATATAAAACGATTTCTTCGGTTTTAAAGTGTGAAGTAAACTCAGACGAAGTAAAATCCAAGCGGATCCCGTTCACGTTCATGGTTACATCCGTGTTTGTTTACCTTTTTTTTCCTTCCAAAATGGCGTCTACTAACTGAGAGTCACGTGGGGTCCGGAGCTCTATATAGGAATTTATTAGCAAAAACATTTTGATGAATGGATGCACATATCAGCATTTATCGTCTAGGAGTCAGCCCCCAAATCTAAGATTTATTCTGCACATCCTGAGCTTTCAGCTTTGAGGCCACAAGAGAGATTTTTTAAATTTCTTCTTTTGCAGCATCATGACTTACAACCAAGGAAACGAGTATTTAAAATCATTTTACAGTGTAGCTTACTCCTTTTATATTGTTAAAAAATGTTGATGCATTTGTAGATAGTTAGAATATTTTAGTCAACACTGAATTTCAAAAATCTGTTCTTTCCCTAGCCAATTAACAACCTTTGTTGTTATTTTTCTTCAAATTATTCTCTTAAGTGTTTGTGCTGCTGTAACTAGTGCATTTCCCCAATGTAGGATCTATTCTATTCTATTTTATTCTATTCTAGGACTTGAAACACAAAACTTGAAAATATCATGAGCACTTGACATGATTTCTATTCTGATGCTAATTAGCTTAGCTTTGTGAATCAAAACAATACTGTCATCATCCTGAGATTCTTCAGAGCAGCCTAGTGGAGGTGAAAAGCTGCAGCACCACCTTGTGGTGGAGAATCGTTCTCACACCTAAACTTAACAACTACGTTCAAACTCAGGCCTCACATTAGTGAAATTCTGATCATAAAATGTTAAAAAAAATTATTTACATCTAAAACCTGTGGGACAGATGAAATTCCACTCCACTAGAAATGCAATTGGGGGCGACACAAAATCACCCAGACAATTGCACATGGCCTAGGTCTGCACTTTGTACTTGTCTGACTAATACAGGTGATTTGTATGAAAATTGTTCAAATGTGTTTATAAAAGCTTCAGGTATGACTTTTAGAGACTGTCCATTTAAACATGACCATCACAGCTCACTAACACAAAAATAACTAAAACTCAAGATACTTAGATAACATTTCACCTGTTAGAGGATGTCACTCACATCAGATACTCGGAGTGCAAACAGCTTAGATAAGATTTTGGAATAAAGCATGAGATCACCCATGAAATTTTACATGATTTGACAAAAACATTAATCATGCCATCATCCCTCAGAAAACACACACTTTTAGTTAAAATGTTCGTCACACAAAGCCACAGTTGATATGCATTCCCTCAAGGAATGCTAAGTTGATTAAGCCTCCATACACAAGCACATGTTAGTTGTATTTGTCCAATAGCAGAACTAATTCAGCTCCACTACCTATCCTGGCTGTTAGGCACATTTATTATTGTAAGACTTTAGGTTTGTGGTGCTTGCTTTTAGCCTGGCAAGCCAGACTAAATAAGAATGGCTCTCGGTCGTGGGCCGGGTTCTACCGTTGTCTTTCAAACAATCGCCACATGCTTCTGGCCAATGAACAACGTGACAAAGTCACCGCAACGGATGTCGGTAAACGAGG